AAACGACAGCAACTTGTCTGTTCCCCTTCCCCCAATTCCCCAGCACTGTTCCCATCCCCCCAATTCCCCAATAAAAATCTTAAAAAAAAAAAAATAAATAAAATAAAAAATAAAATAAAATTAGGAAATGTGATTCCTACAGCTTTGTTCTTCTTTCTCAAGATTGCTTTAGCTATTTGGGTCTTTTGTGATCCCATACAAATTGTGGAATTGTTTATTTCTATTTCTGTAAAAAAAAATCCCATCGTAATTTTGATAGGGATTGCATGGAATCTGGATTTCTTTGGATAGTATGGACATTATTTTTTTTAAGATTTTATTAGGGAATTGGGGGAGGGGAACAGCATTGGGGAATCAGAGAAGGGGAACAGACAAATTGCTGTCCTTTTGTTCTTCAGTCTGGTTGTGGAGGACATCGCTTCACTGGCCCATGTTGGCATTATCATTGCTTTCTTCCCAGGTGAGGAAGTCGCTCACCGGCCATTGGATGGCCACTCACTGTGGCTCACGCCAGCTCCCGGCTGCTCACACTGGCTGCCAACCACTCACAGTAGCTCACAGCAGCCCACTACAGCAGGGGCTACGGCCTATGCCATCGCCAGCAACTCATGGCAGCCTAGCTCCAGGTTGAGCTGTTGTTCACCATCTTAGCTGTAGAGGGTGCAGTGTCACTGGCCCTCATGTGGGATCTGAACCAGAGCCCTGCTGCTCAGAGTTGGTGTCCCAAGCCAACTCTTAATGCTTCACTCGGCTGGCCCAGCATGGACATTTTAACAATATTAGTTATTTCAATTTATTAATACACAATATCTTTCCATTTATTTGTTTCTTCTTTAGTTATTTTCATCAGTGTCTTATAAGTTTTCAGTGTACAGATCTTTTACCTCCCTGGTTAAATTTATTATTATTCCATTTATATAAAATTATAGAAAATGCAAACTAAACTGTAATGATAGAAAACAGATTACTATTGCCTTGGCATGAAGATAGAAGGGAGGTCAATTACAAAGAGGCATGAGGAAACTTTTGTGGTAATAAGAATTTTTTTTATTTTAAGCTGAGCCATCCTGCCACCTGTTGGCAGCTCAGCGGCTGCTCAGCTTGGGCTGGGAGTCGAACCGCGTTGCTCAGAGCTCAAACTCTTGAGCGAGCTCTTAACCAACTGAGCCACTCGGCCGGCCCTGAGGTAATAAGAATTTTATTATCTTCATTTTTGAGATGCTTACATATATATATCTCAAACTCATCAATTGTATATTTTAAATAAGTGCATTTTTTGTATGTCAGTTATATAACACTAAATATTTTTTAATCTCAATTTTCAGGTTAAAATGCAGCTTAGGTACAGCTGAAGGCAGAATAAATGAACTGAGAGGTAGATGTGAAGAAATTATCCAGGCGGAGTAATAGTGGCACTGGGGGCCCTGTGTCGAGTCTGGTGAGCCACGTTGCCTGCACTACCAAGGTCACAGCTCAGGCCTCCCATCCTGGCCTCAGGGACCTGCCAGGCAGGCCAGCAGCCGCAAGGAGTGGTGAAATCATAAGTGATCCAAGGTCAGGGTCTCTTCTAGGTGATCAGGGCCCCAGGATGGCTCGGAAATCCTGAAGGAGCTGGATGAGTATTATAAGAAATTGAAACAGGAGACAGATGACACCCAGAAGAGGAGAGTGTTGCACTGCATTCGAGAGCCCTGATTTGGAGCCAGGAGTTGGGTGAGGAGAAGATCCAGATTGTGAGTCA